TCCCTCTTTCTTTTTTTTTTTCTTACAATTCCTATGTATTTACTTTTACAGATAATTTTAAACACTTTATCAAGTTTTAGAAAACTCCAGGGTGATTTTGGTTGATACTGAATTAATTTTATACATTAACTGAAGGAGAATTGACCACCTAAAATGTGGAGTCTTCCTAATAAGAGCATTCTTAAGCTCTCCATTTATTAAAAGAATCTCTTGTTCTGCAGTAGAATTTTACGTATTTATTAATAAAATTTTTGCACTTGTTCAGTTTATTACTAGGTATTTATATTGTTTATTACAACTCTGCAATTTTTTTCTTGTTACATATTATGTAATCCCTGGTTATTGTAGTTATTTAAAGATACTTTTGACTTTTTTGGTCTTGTAACTGTTTTTAATAGAATGTAGTCACATTTATAGTGGTGTATGTTTATAAAAGATATATGTAAGACAATTGGTAATTTAGGCTTATCTTGGGTTTTCTTTTAAAATTAAGACTAGGGAACTAGTCATGAGTTAACAGAGAATATTTTCTGGATGGGGGTGCCTGGGTGGCTCAGTTTGTTAAGCATCTGACTCTTGATTTTGGCTCAGGTCATGATCTTGGGATTGTGCTGAGCCTGGAGCCTGCTTAAGATTCTCTCTCTCCTTTTGCCCCCCTCACTCCTCTTCGCACGTGCTCTCTCGCTCTCTCTCTCTCAAAAAAAAAAAACCAAAACATTTCTGGGTATGTTGACTGTAAGATCAGAAGGTACACTGACATCAATTCCATAAATAGCAAATATGAATGCAGTTTATTTAAGCCTATTGGTTTGTATTTTTAAAGAATACTCTTGTTTCTTTAAAGTTAAGTACTATAAATAGTTCTTTAAAGTCTTGTGGAAATAATATACCTAGTCCAACTTCTTGGGGACTAGGGGATGAGTTTATGTAACCATCCAATTTAGAGTCTGATTTAGAGTTAAAGTTAAATTGAATTACAGAAAAGTTACAGTCACAGGTAGCATGATCAGGTCCTCAGATAATACAACTTCCAAACCTCTAATCATCCAGATTACCCTTATTTTTGCTTTCACTTACATACACCTTTCTTTTAAGGAAGCACAAAACTTGAAAGTTTGCCCAAATACTGAGTCATAGTTTGTATAGCACTGAATGATAGTAGCTTTGGCATTTGATATTATAAAGTCACTTTCATTGCAAATATGTTCTTCATTCTGGGTCAGGGTGAGGTAAAAGGGGAAGAATAAGATTCTCATGTAGAGTCTTGAGTTTTGAAGTGTCCAGATGAATGTGTATGTGCATGTTGCAATTCTGGAAGTCTTTCTTGAGGGTCTCTGAGAGCACAGCTCTAGGATGATTTGGTGAAGATTGGTTCTGCTTCAGTAATTTTTCTTTTCTCTTTGTCCAGTTCTGCCAAGATTGCAACTTCTATTTTTGTTTTGAAAACCTTGTCCTGAAGGGTTTGCAGCCATCTTCCTATTTTCTGTTTCAACTATGTTCAGGGCAATTGGTGAGCAGGGTCATGAGAGTGTGGGACTACCCCACAGCTGGATCACGATTCTCCAAAGGAGATGTGACTACTTAGAGCTAGATACTTTTGAGTTTTGATTTTTACTTATTCTGTAATCAACTACCTCACTGTGATAGCAATTTCTAGAATACTTTATAATACTTATTTTTTTGTTCAATTGCATTATTGATAATAGCAGTGCAAGTGGGCACTTGTCTTGTATTTGACTTCTGGAACTAGTGCTGCTAGTGTTTTTCTTCTGTTTTATGATATGAAATTTTTAATGATTTAAAAAAGTAAACTTTATCCTTGCCTTATTATTAGATTTTTATTAGGAATTGATCTTGCATTTTGTCAGCTACTTTTTTAACATCTCAATATAACATGGATTTTGTTAATGTTAATAGATTTGCTATGTTGTTCCATCATTATATTCCTCGAATAAACCCACTCAACATGTCACGTGTTAACCTTTTAATATACTGTTCCACTTTGCTTGCTAATATTTTTTTTTTTTAAGATTTTTATTTATTTATTTAT